TAATTATTTTCAAAAATCTTTGTTATTTAGATATTCGTTTTTTACAGACAGACAGCCTGACTTAAAATCGTGCATAAAGTTGAAAATATTTCGATTTTGTATGGGAAAAAATTTAACCCATTTGATTGTAAATAAATGGATATAATTTTAAAGGCTTGAAACTGACTTTCTGAGACAACACCTTTTCACTATTACAAAAGGATTAAAGGAAAATAAAAATTTCGACCCGCACTAATGTACATTCATTATAAATTGGTTTCCCTTAAGCAATTCAAGTTAAACATTTTTTTTATTTTTTTTTTATTTTTCGATTTAAATCTCGTTTAAATGTCTACGACAGTACCTATATTAAAATTTTTTAGTTGAATTTGAGAGTTTTAACTTTGTTCTAATTTTAATATCAGCTGACAGCAAATTTTTATTTTCTCACTTGTTTACTTCAACTAGATATTAATAAACGAAAAAAAACAGTAAAAAATTACATAAAATCTAAGTTAAAATTAAGTTTTCAGATCAGAAATTTCGTAATACCGTCTGTTAAGATTTACAATTTCAAAAAGCTAACAACAAAATTTTTTCAAAATACATTTAAATTTAAACCCTGTTCCAGGAGTTTCGGGATTTTCAAATTTTTCAGAATTTGCAGGAAAATCTGCCTTAGCAAACTTTATGGAAGCTAGCGTACGGGAGCAGCTTCCTGTAAAATCCTGCAGTACATTAATAAGAAAACTTTAAAATTTCTACTAATTTTTTTCTGCTTTCTTTTATTTTTTTTAACAACAGCAAATATTTTTTTCACCGCCTTCACATGTTTAATTCGAATATTAGTGAAACAGAAAAATGGTCAGTAAAAAGTTGAATAAAAATCAAAAATAAATTCAGAGAATACAAATTTTTTTGAAAGTTAAAAATTTTACAATTTCCCGGATTTTGAAAGTTAATTTTTTGAATATCTGAAGACTATTTTAGTTATATAAATCATTCTGATCTCGCTTCAAAGGTGATATTTGGGTTATTTTTGAATGCGGAAGAATATGCGCAAGACCGCTAGCATAAATAATATAAAAATATAAAAAACGACAGTTTTTAACCGACTTCAAAAAAATGAGGAGATTATCAGTTCGTCGGACTGTTTCAAAATTCTCTATAATTTTTTTATTTTAAGACTCTTTTATATAGACCTAAATATCAGCTTTAAAATGAGATCAGAATGGAAATAAACTTTCAAAATCCCGGAAGTTGTGAAATTTTGGAATTTTGCATAAATTTTCTAGCAGAACTTCAGTAAGTATATGAAAAAATAAAAGTTCTGACCAAAGCTCATCCAAATCAAAAATGGTGGATCCAACCGTTGCTAAAAAAGTAGTTCATTAAGTTTTGTTCAAATAACGGTGATTAGGTCAAAGCAAATTTCCAGTCATTATTCCGAACTCTATACGTATGTGTGTCGATATGCATACATTTGTTACGTTTATAGTGCATATATATACATACTGTTGGTAACAAGGTATCGCAATACCGTTAACTTATTTTAAACAAAACTTCCATTTTATATGTAGGTGACTATGTACCTTCTTATGCAGGCCAAAAGTAATACAGCTGAAGAAGATATCAAAAATTAATATACGAATACATATTTATATACGTACACATATAAAGGCTAAATCAGTTTGAGTTAACATAATGACGAAAGCAGCGAATCGTCACGACGATCGCGTGGCTCCTTTCACACAAATAAAAAATGAAAACCAAATGAAATATGCAAAAAAGCAATTCTACGAGTAAATAAAGAAATATATCAAAAAAAAAAAAAAACGATTTGCAACTAAAGAAAAAAAAGTCAGAGTTGGCAACAAATATCAAATAGAAATCAGCAAATGGAAAGTTTAAAGTATTTTAAAATATTATGTACACATAGTTAACTCAGCGACAGATGAACACCGGGGCGTATAAGTAATAAGCAATCGATTTGAACGTCCAGTGTGGGAGTTAAAAAAAGATATGATAGGTTGGATTTTAGTCAGCTAACGTACTCTCCATACACCCAGAATGTGTTATAAAATATTTCCCTTTAAGAATGTATGAGCTATGCAGAGGAGGACAGCTAGAATGTAGCTCTAGTCCAGTAGAAATGGTTGTCCTCCGGACTAAACCGCTGGGCTAAGGTCAAAAAAATGCAATGTATCTTTCGAGAAAACAGCAAGCAAGACAGCAAAAACCGAAAGAAAGGCCCTAAAATAACAACAACAAATAAAAAAACATAAACAAGTTTGTTCTAATAGCAATCGCCCCTCGGCAGGCAATGGCAAACCTCCGAGTATATATCTGCCATGAAAAACAGCGGCCTTTTTAAGGTCCCAGAAATCCCAGGATTCTTGGAAAATAATCCTGGGATTTTCGGGATTTTTAATCTGCACTGATGGCAATGATAGAAACCCCTTTTCTTGACCAGTATTGGCTATATTTCTTTTTTTATTTAATAGTTATATATAATACATATAACACCACGCGAAAGTAAATTTTAAACACAAATATAAATATATGCGCGAAGCCATGGGCCAAATATAGTAAAATATAGTAATTCTGACGTCAGTAATTGAAAAATGATTTAAATAATTCAGAGAAGTAGTATGGTATCAAATTAAAGAGGAAATCCTGTACAATTTAAACAAATTGAAGTTTTGGGTGGAGAAGTACTGGTAAGTATTGAAAATGTCTTTTTAAAATTTTATCCTTGCAATTTCGCAATATTTGTTTTTGAAAAAATTATATGTTAAGGACTTATATAAACTCGATAATGCTCTTGAATTTCGTCCTTCTAACATATCAGCTTAAAAAATTACCGTCCTTGTGAATCCAAAAAATTTGAAAATTTTTTAAATTCAAAAGAAATTTCCTTTTGCATTTGGTACCCATATTTTTATTCTACATTGCATTGAACTTTTTAATCAATTTTTGTAATTAATCATATTTTTGGAATTATAAAGTCCTTTAATATAAATCCTGACGTCAGAGAGAAAAAATAAAAACGCCACTTTAAATAAAAAAGTTGGTTTCAAACCCATTTATTTATTACTTATTTTATGGTAGGAGAGCTTCTCTAACAATATAGAAGCAATTTTGCTCACAAGTGAAGAACATATGGTGCACGTTATCTTCGACGTTTTCACAGTAACGACAGAACGAGTCCACTCTGCCAATCCTTTGAAGTTATTATCGGTAGTAATCATGGCCGGTGAGGAACTGCGTCAGGTAGGAATCGACTTCTCCGTGCGGTCGGTTCAGCCATGTCTGAAGGTCGTTCGTCTATCAGGATGTTCGCCCATCGACCTTTTGTGCTCACGTTCCAGTTTTGTTGCCACTGCTATATATTAGTTGCTCGCGTGCCCTAGCCGCGGCACCTGATCAGCCTATCTTGGCACTGAGGTTGTAAATCTCTTTTCACTCGTAGGCAAGTAGCTCAATTGGCATGACACGAGAAATAACTAGATCCGCGTCCGCGGACACTGTACGGTATGCAGAAGCAATGCGTAGTCCATCTCTGCGTTGGACCGAAGACATTTGAATCCGGTATTTTTCACCTTCAATGCGTCGGCCAATATTTCTGACCCGTACAGGAGCACCAACTGGACTGCGGTCATCAAAAGCTTCTTCCGGCGTGGTTTCGCGCCGCCCACATTCGCCATCAGCCGGCTTAGAATCACCGTGCTCTGCGCAGCTTTTTCACATACTCCATGAAGGTGTTTCCAGAATGCGAGTTTGTTGTCAAGCTTCACACCCAGGTATTTTATAGACCTACAAGTTGCCATGAGCTGAGGTCCGATCATCATGTTTATAATTTATTTTATGGCCGTAGCGAATTGCAGACCGTCATCGCTCATCCATCCACTGACACTACGCACGACCTGGTCTGAGCTATGCCAGCCGGGTGTTTTTTGCTATTATGACGGCGGCCACGTCGTCCACGAAGGCGACAAGGAAGGCGCTCTCCGGCAATTCCGTGCGCAACACACTGTCATACGTGGCGTTACAGAGGTTCGGGCCAAATACAGACACCTGTGCCCTTCCGCCAGTTATACGTCTCTTTATCTGACTTTACGTTGTGTTGTACAGCAGCCAAAGGTCTCTGAGGTGGTCCCGAAACATATCTAGGAAATATGTTGGAACCTTAAAGGACCGCTCCAAGGCTTCAAACATGTCGTAACATCTTGCCAACAGGCTTCTTTGGCTTTATGTACCGCCCCATCTGCTTCACTAATTACCCCCACAGTTGAGTGGCCCTTCCTGAAAGGCCTTCCTCATTTTCTATGGCTGACTCGCCTGCTGTGTCTAGCATGCATCTATTTTCTATTAGCTCTTATCTATATTTTATTATCTATCATAAATAATCCATTAGCTATTTCCCGTACGATCCCTATTGCCATTTACCATTATCTAGTTTAACAAATTAAATTATCCATAATTTGGTTTTCCAAACACACTACGTTTCTTATCTCTTTTTTCTACAAATTTATTCACATAGTTTCGACTAATTTGTTTATAAACAACTAAGATAATTACACACATTAAGCTCAGCTCAAAAAGCTCTTTATCTGGCAAAGAGCGTGGTTTACACGTTTTGATGATTTCTGCTGCCGCTACATTGGCGCTGACGATAACAGTAATGATGATGTACGCTCAGCGCTCTTCATCGCAACCTCCTCTACCGCCACTGGAAAAGTGCATACTGCTTTTTAAGCCATTGCACGCTCACCGCCAGCTTTCAGATACGTTTCTGAGTTTCAAGCGCAAGCACAGCGTAACCATTCAGTTATTCAATAACTAGTACATACTTTTGTTAGCTAAGCTGTGCGCTTACGCTACCAATAACAACTAAAAAAAACAACACCAACAACAAGAGTATTCACACAGAAACCAGCACTTGCACTTCCAGTAGGTACATTAAGAGGGGCATTTTGTGGGATTTTTGTGGGTTTCCATTGAGTTGGCACTCGGTCATTCATATTTAGTTAGCAGTCGAACGTTGCGCTTCGCGGTTGCATATTCGCTTCAATAGCAATTTTCTTATTTTCATACTTTGCTTGGGTGCTTATTTTAATACATCATACAAAAAAAAAAAAAAACAGTAAACAGAAAAACAAATCAGCTTAAAAAAGCCAAAAGAAGTAGAAGGCGCAGTTAAAGAAAAAAAAACATCGTTCGGCGAAGCTTGTGCATGATCGTATGTGCACACCATTATACCCTGGGCTAAATACATACAATGTACATATAAAAAAGCCAGACGTTTGGTCGTGATCGACGCTTGCGCGCCTGCGCAATCTCACATTCAACAACTGAATACTCACGTTCACACAACAAGCAAAATAAAAAAAAGCACAAACTTTCGGTCTCAAGCGCGCTGAATACATCTGAACGCCACAGAAACAGTCAGCGTCTGCTCGCGTAAGCACGCATGCGCCGCAATACTTTCGCTTTTTGCATATCGTCCATTGGCTTTGCCAGTCGTCAATCGGTTTTTTTTTTTAAATAGTCTGTGCGCGCTTCAACTTCACGCAGCGTTTTAAATATAAATTATCCTACCGCAGCGTATCCTTTGAACGTTCAATAGCCGTATCTTTTGTGTATGTGTGCGCGCGCGCCTTTTTTCTATTTGTGCGTGTACTAAAATCGCATGCAATTATTCGTAAACTTTCAGTTTTGTGTTTCGCGATTATGCCACAGCCTGCGTAATGCTGATTGGCGAACGGAACACCTACAAATCCTACATTATCGGTTATAATCTTTTTGGCAAGACGTTGAACACGCGCACTAGCGCTTAGCGTAGTTTTTGGAAATTCATTCGAATTCTAAGCCAAAAAAAATATTGTTCGTAAAAATTTTAAGTTAAGCTGTGTTGCTGCGACCAACAACGTTTCATTCCTCGTTTAGTTCGTTAATGAATAAGAATAAAATTCACAAAGTGCCAAATATTTAAGCATTTTAATTATAAAAGAAATATTTATCTACTAAAATAAAGAGCAAAACAACGAATATTTTAATTTATTTAACAATTTAATATTTAAGTAAAACTCTATAAGCAACCACCTACGTTTAAGAGCAAACACATTCTGTACCTTAATATAATAAATATCCTGTGTGACGACGAGTGCGGTGCGTTAAATTTTTTTTTTTTGGAAAAGGACATAAAATCCTTGAGAGAGAGAGAGAGCGAAAAACGTGAATTTAAAAATGGGAAAACAACGCCTTGGCATTGGATTATTATTGTGGTGAGTAGAATTACAATAAAACATTTACATATATTAGGAATAAATGTGCAAAACAACTTTTGTCTAAAACGTCCGTTATAATATTGTATTAAAAATATTTTTGTGATTTTGTACAAATTCAGGCGTACAAGTCTACTATCAGGTCTTGAAACTGTGAATAAATTAGGAAAATTTTGTTCCTACTTTTTGTGTAGTTTAAAAACTTAGCACGCTTTCTCAGAAGAAAGCGCAAATAATTATTTCCTTTTTCCAAACACAAAATTTTTGCAATTAATTTTAAATTAGGCATATTGTCAACATTTAAAAATACATAAACATGTCCAATAAAAATATCATCCAGTATAAAAATTTCTTTTTTGAAAAAAAGCACGAAACAACTTTTATAAGTTTTTTTTTTTTTAATAACCAGAAACTTGTTATGCTGCAAGAATGTCATTTAAGTAAATAAAAAATATATATTCTTATGGCAAAAAAAATTTAAAAGTCATCTTTATCAGAACTGGTTTCTTGGTTGATGTGGCCAGTTTTAAGTAACAACAACCAACTGAATCTGAAAAGAGACAATGAGAAAAACAAAGATAAAATGAAATACGTAAAACTCCTTTCTTGTCAGAGCCAAGCCATTGAATTCAAAACACATAATTAAAACCAGTCTGTCAGTTCGTTTATGCCAACAAATTTAGGCTAGCCAATATACTTTCGTCTAGACCTTCTGGAAAGAATTTTGTATGAATTATGAAATTTTAACCTCAACGTCCTTCGGTCTCAGGACACTCATTGAAGTATATGTATTCTTTGATAAAAAAATGTCTTTCGATGGCAATTCCCTCGTAAACGCAAAAACTAACTACGTTTAATATAGAAAAATTCTGAAATTAAATCATGAAAGGAGTGCATTACGTTTAAAAAAAATATACATATGTAAAGGTTTCTTTTTTGTCCTTCCCAAAAGGCTCCGATTTCGTTTGCATTCTTCTCCTCCTAAATGGCTTGACCGATTTTCACAATGTTTTATTTTATTTTTTTTTGTGTGTACTTAGTGGAACTCCTGGATGGGTATAGGCTGTGGTTAGTCACGGTAGATGACGCCAGAATCAAGACATTTGGAAAATTCGTATTTAAATCTATAACAAAAAGTTGTGACCATAAAAATATCGTTCAACGGCCGCTTCTGAGGGGACGTAAGACAAGTCTGGTACTTGCATAGTACTTTGTATTATTTTTATAGCTTTTTTGCACTACATATTTCCTCTAAAATTTTGGAAATTTTCAACAAACATTCGGATCAGATTTTTTTTTTAATTATAGTATATATTTTTTTAAATCAGTGTTATATGCAGGCTGTTAATTTTTCCATTGAAACTATATTTTATACAAAAAGCCCATCACGACCATTTTTTGTCTTTCACAATTCACTTGCATATCGTCATACATAACTTACAAAGGCCCTAACCAACACTTTTTTTCAAAACTGCGTTTTTCACAGATTTTAGTGGGATATATTAATTCTTTCGGCAGCACTGGTTTAGAATTTTAACCACATATCTTGAAATTTTCGTTACTCGAAGAGTTAAACTAAACCTTCAATAACAATTTCAAAGTGCTAGTACCAAAAAAAAACGGCATTACACTTTTTAAAAAGTCGTACCTATTTTTTTACGTTGTTTTTAATAATATTGGTATTCATATAAACGTAAAAAAATGCCTCGTTACTGCGTAAACCTTGTAAATAAACCGATTTTCCATTCAAAATGAAGTAAGTTCACGAGCTTTGCATGCTCACGTGGCATTTGCGCGTTTCGATGAACTGCCCTAATGTTTTTGCTTCTCCTGTAAAATAAAAAAATTTGTTTGTTAGGGCCCTTGTTAAATAAGGTAACGATATGTCTTGAATATTCTGATTGATTTTACTACATCAAGCCACGTCCTAATTTTTATCTCCTCAAATTCCAATCACATTAAAATGCGAAACCAATCTGTGCCATCCAATAAAAGTACCCTAAGTCGGTATAGGCCATTTCCCTTTAAAGCAACATTTCATGGGATTCACAACCAATATTTTAACGGTTAACTAGCCAATATGCCCTTTTAATATAAGCTTAATAAAAATATAAAAAATTTTCAAGCGGAGACTTTATTTTTTAATTCAAAGTCAGATAAGATTAAGAAGTTTACACCATGGAAACTTTTAACTTTCTTGTACAAAATTCGAAAATGGTATCTTTTCTCTAAAAGTTTGGGCAGTGATCCGCATCTAATGACGAGAACATCGCATTTGGCCTCCTCATCTCATTACGTGGTTTATATACGAAGAACGGTAAATAAAATGTGGCAGTCATTTCTGCCAAAATTGTTCTTTTAGGAGACGACTAATATATATATTTTTTTTTGGTTAAGCTAAAAATTTAAATAACATCTGCTGTTGTTTTTCGGTTTATTAACTAAAAAATAAGAGGTTAGTGCATAATGCGAGTATCTATGTAAGCTTATCATAAAATTATATAAAAATCCATCATTTCCACTGAACGCTAACTCAGCAACAAATTCGCAACAAAAAAAAAAGATTAAATTTCAAATTAACCAAAGAAGACTTGGTTGGCTTGCTCTGACAAAATCCAACTACACCGATAGAGTGCTTCCGACAAGCGTTAAGAGCTGCTTATGCCACTACATAAAATTCAAATTATAAGAATAATTAAAGTTTTGGCGCTTCTGCACAACATCAAAAATACGCAGAGCTCGAGGACAACCAAC